CTTTTAAGTTGGCCTATTCAGTTGCTTAAACACTCAAATTATCGATCAAATATGCACACTACAGTGTTTATTAACATAATGAGTTTAGACCAATTTCTATTATTAATCTTCCGTGTTTATCATTAAAATGTTGCTGCAGCAACAAGAGAAACGATAAAAGGTAAACATCCTTTTTACCCTTTCAGTTTGTGTCCCTCCTTTACTTTTGTACCAATATACATCTTCACTTTATTACAGTAGTTGGTAAAATAGAAACCTAGTCCCCACTATTGCACCAAAACGCATTTTTTCATAAAGTAAACAAAAGATGGAAAAAGTTGAAGCTTACGCTGCATCGAAAGCAGGGAGCAAAAGCGCATGAACCTTTTTGAAAGGCTAAATCAAAAGAGTGCACGAAAGTTATTTCTTCTGCATCTCCTAAAGTCAATTCTTGAAATTAAACAACCTTTGGAAGGTTATTTTTCCAAACCCCATTTTTGCATTTTGGAAATTTTATTCTCAACTTTCACAACCAATTGCAAAGGTGGGGTTCAATCAGATTTTCACAACACAATAGTTGAAAATAGCCTCAATTGGTTTTCCATTTCTCTCACGCCATCATTGAAATAGAGAATCCAACATAATTAAGGAAAGTTTTTTATGTCTGTCTTATGACACACTGTAATTTAACTAAAAATGATATGTTCATAAATAAAAATTGTACTCTAGAGCACACATATTAGACAAAAGTAAAAAAAAATGTCTTAAACCTGCCAAGTTAATGTCAGGGCCATGCCTTTTTTAATTGAGATATGATTTTTTTGTATTATATTTATTTAAGAATCAATGATAATTGAAAATGAATGGTAAATAATACAATGATAATATAAAAAACTCTTAAAATGTCAATACACATTTTTTTTCTTATTATTACAACCCTCAAAGTTTAAAACAATAGAAAGTACACCATAAGTAAAGAGGAAAACAATAGGATTGTGTTAGTAAATACTCTAATACTTTCTTTGATTGGATAGAGTTAACACAGAGATAAGCAAAAGAGCAATAGAGAATTAAATATAATGTTTACAAAAATACAAAATAAGTAAGAACGTCCTAGAATTCACAATATATTGCATTGATTATTTTCTAACATATGTTACTTATATAATATTGTTGCCTTCCAATGAGAGTGGTTAACGTTTACATGATATAGAAGAAAAAGACATCCTCACAAGTTCCTGGGATCAATGTATCCTGATCTCTTTGTATCTTTCGTGAGTGAAGTTCAAAATGGTGAGAGAGAACATTAAATTGTGTGTAGATGATAGTTGGAGGGGTTAGATATGAAGCAATAAATAGAGAGAGTAAAAGGGGCGGTATAATAAATGCAAGAGATGGTAATTATTTGTGTGAGAGTTTGTTGTAGTGAATATATTGGGGCTTGGAAGAGAGTGAGTTTGTCCATGTGGACGTTATGAGTGCGACGTATCGAATGACAAAAGGGAAGATTGCATATCTTTTTCATCGTGTCACTCACAATTATTTTTATTGGTTAATGTGTCACTCACAATTTTCTTCAATTCAAAAATGAACCCTCTCTTAACTTTTAAACCAAAACAAACGGGATACTTTCTGTGTTTAATTGAGTAGGTCAAATGAGTTTGAGTTTCTTCCCTTGAATAGTTGTTACCTTGGATTCTTAACTTAGTGGGAAGTAGGTCCATCCAATGAAATCAAAAGGTGGGTTTCGGAGCCTCACACTTGGCTCATAATTGCTTACATAAATTTAGAATTGATTTGAGTGCATTAGGCCATTTGTAATGGTCCCCGTTAGTGTTAAAGGCAAATTACGAGTTCAGATGAAAATTAAATTGTATGCTTTTGTAAATAAATTCGTAATTATTATATCTATAAAAATATCCACACGAGGGAGGGAGGAGGTGAATATTATAATATTTATCCTACAAGTACCACTATTTTTATGAGAAAATTTATATACACTGACATTGTATAAATTTTATATAGTGTGACTCCATTATACACAATTTATTTTTAATCATTTCTTATAGTTAAGGGTGAAAATAAGATTCATATTATTGAGCCTATAACGAGTTAGGTTAGGCTAGATTTTTTCATGAATAAGTCATAGACTAAATTATGTAATATAACTCACTGTGTAATCGGTTCTTAAAATTTTTAAAAAACTTATTTAACATATAATATGTGAGACTTTAGGTCATTTAAAAACATATTAAATTCAACAGACAGCCCTATTTAGTTATATTACATTACAATATTCATATTATACTCTTATGTAATTATTTTAATATAAAAATGTATATATAAATAAATAAATTATTAGAGTTATGACCCTAGTTAAAAGTTTGACATTGTGACATATTTCAATATCATATAGTATAGTATATCTTTATACAGACTAACATATCATATAAGACTTTTATAATCAAACATTCAAACATAAGCTATAAATTTTTTAAAAGAGGGTAATAGGTAAGAGTCATATTCATATATATGTTATATATAAACTAGACCTAGGCAAAACTACACATTCTCTAACGTGTTTCCATCCATTGAAATAAAGTAACAAAAATTATGATGTATGAGCTATTATTTATATCACAAATATATGTAGATACAAGCATGAGGAATGTTAACCATCTCACCCCTTTGTCATCTCTAACTGTGGGCCCAAGGAGGGAATCATAGTTAAGTCCTTTATGATGAGTTTAGTATCAGGAAATAAAGAAGAGAGAGGAGTGGATGAGATAAGTAAAAAATATACATATTTCTCTCATTTAAGTTTAAAAATAGAGAATAAAAAATGTAAAATAATTATTTCACTGTTTCATGTGTAGAGAAAATGAGAGCAAAAAATGAGAGAAAATACATTTTTCTACAATCAAACAACATAAAAATCTATTATATTTATAGTATTTCTTTCTCACATACTTATCTTTTCTTCCTTCTTTTTATTTCCAAACTAATACATCAATGGAAAGAACAAGTTTCGGTACACTAAAAAAACTAGGGTTCTAATCTGGTAAAAAATGTGGGATACCCCACAAAAAAACTATATTAAAACATGTTTGATTAAAATTTAGAAATAGTAGTGAGTGATTTTAAATTATGCTTATAAATGGTTTAATTTTTATAGATTTTTGGAATAAAGTCAAAAGATATTTGTGTTTGTTAAAACCAGAAAAATCAGCTTTTATAGTGACTTATTCTTTTTCATGCTCTTTCATATCTTATATGACATCATCCATTATAATATAGAAACTCCTAATAATATAAATATGGATGTCCAATTATTTTCAGATTATAGAAAAGTATATCCTCACACACTTTTCGTTATCTTATAAAAAAATGAAAATGTGATGTTGTTGAAAAATAATATTAAACAAATACAATTGAATGATTAGGTTAATAGTTTTGTTAAAAAATAATAAGAAATTAAAGAAGTTATTATTATTAAGGTCACGTACATGTTAATGATGTTATCACTTCTCCCCCATTCTTATTTATGTTACAATTGAAGAATTTTATATTCCTAATTATTTGTATTATTTAAGAATACAGATAATAGCAATTATGTTTATGCAAATAATGAAAATAAATTAAATACTACATAAGTATGAAAGAAATTAAAAAACAAAAAAAATCTATTTACCGGTAATGTGAGATGTCTATACATATTTACATTTTTATTGCAAAGATATTACAATATTAAAAAATATTGCCTTAAACTTAACGTAAACAATTTATTTTTTATATATTTGAATATACTTTGTTCTCTATTAGTAAGTTATATTAGTTTCAAAATTTCCAAGCACGGTACAAAAAATCGTCCTCTTACATAGCTTTTTTTGGTTATTTCCCCTTACTTAGTTGTTCAATACATTTATTGTTACAAATTAATGAGCTCATAATTGGAAATTATATAGCCTAAAATAAAATTGTTAGTAATGTGGGAAATATACATAAGAAATAATGTTAGTAAAATCAAAATGTTAGAAAATTAGGTTAGTATAATTTATATTGTGACTATTTAATTTTTAGAGAGTAAAATAAAAATCATTATCCGAGAAGAAATTAGAGAATAATTTAAAAATAGAGTAGTGAGAATCGAGAAGAGTGGGTTTGATTAAGATGGAGTGTAGGGACTAGGGATAGGAATGAACAACTATGATGATGATCATCCTTTCATCCTTCTAAATATCCCTTCTCCCATCCAATCTTTTTTATGAGCCTTCATCAACTTCAACATCTTCTTTTCTCTCTCTCTCTTCTCTTATCGAACCAGGATTTCTCGTCCCAAAAAATTAACGTCTCAAACCAATCAAATAATATATAAAATTTATTTTATGATTTTTATGTGTACATTACTGACTTACTGACTGAATGCTTAATTGACTTACGTATTGAATGACTAACTGACTTACTTACTCAATGACTGACGGACTTACTTACTGAATGACTGACTTACTTACTGAATGACTGACGGACTTACTTACTGATTGACTGACTTACTTACTTAATGAATGATTGACTTACTTACTGAATGACTCACTGACCTACCGACGAAAAGACTGACTAACTTACTTACTAATTGACTAACTGACTTATTGACTGAATGATTGACTTACTGACTTATTGACTGAATGACTGACTTACTAAGTGAATGGCTGACTTACTGAACTAACTTACTTAGTGACTTGATTAGATTGAGATACTACTGGGACACAAAAAGTGGAACAAGTGATCTCCTTAATCATACCCACCTCCTCTTATGTTTTCTCTCTTATTTATTCCCAAGCCCCTTCCCTCTTTCACTTCTTAAATAGGGCACTATCTCCTTGCAGTATTTCAATCTCTCTTCCTCTCTGTCATGTTTTTGTATTGGGTAGTGAGAGAGTCCATACTTTGATATATACATCCAAGCTTCTTCAAAGAGAGGCTGCGACACCGTTTTTGTTCACATGTGGTTTAATAAAGGGTTGCTTACAGAGTTTATTGGCATTCTGTCCACCTCCATCGATGATATATAGTTTTCGTAATCTTTATGTGGAGGTGGACATACTGCCAACTATGCTGTGTTAAGCTTCTCTTTCTAAAACCCTCGTGATATTTTTACACTCCTACTTTTTCTCATTATGCGTAACTATAAACAAGCAGTTAAAATAGTTTACAAAAGCTTCTTCATTTCCCCTTATTTCTCATAGTTATTTCTTTCTCTACCTGAATCCATGTTATACACACGTAGCTACATGCATGATTAACTATCTTGTTAGAATACTTTTTTCGATCTACTATTTCACGAGGATCAAATTCTGTTATAAAAGTTTTGTTATTCTGTTTTTTTTTCTTGATTTCCTTCCTTATATGGCTGTTTTTCTGCAGGATAATACTGTTTTCTTTTACAAAATTTTGGTACAGGATCAGAGGTAGACAGTTTTACGCCTCCTTTCGTTAGTACTGGAAAACTATTATCGCATACTTGCGGTATTTTATTTTCAAACCCAACCACAGCGATCTCTTTGGTTTTAATCATCTCTTCACTCTTTTTGCCATTTAGGTCTTAGGAAGGAATGAGATTTAATGCATTCTTCCTTTTATGTAGTTTATTTTAATGATATTTTAACACACCCTATTCTATCGGAATAGAAGGTGGTTGGAGATATCATTATGTGGATATCAGATCTTATTTAGGGTTTGAAGAAGGTAACTGTATTGTTCTTGTTACTTCTTTGTTCTTGATTTTCCAAAAAGGACTTATATAGTTTAGATGTATAGTTTATGCATTATTAGGGATGAATACTTTTAGAGAAGAAAACGTTCCACCTGAAGTATATTTTCAAAAAATAATAATAAAGAGTAATGATTTTACCAACCAATTTCTAGTTGAGTTGAGTATAAATCTTTCATGTTTTACCAACCAGTTGCTAGTTTTCTTGGTCATGACCGTATATTTATAAACTATTTGTTATTTTTTACTAACTCCTGTAAAATGAGATTGTAGTGTTACATTCTGTCTGTCAAGACTGCAATCCTTTAATTCTCTTTTCCTTCGGTTTTGAAATTTAAATGTCTTGTATATTTAGTTAGTTTATTTATATCGGATGCATATTTCATATTATGAACTCTTATTTGACCAGTCAGCCCCATTTTTGAATAGGTTTCATATATTATGCTGGTCATGCCCTCTCTCAACGTAGGAAGGAGGACTCATGATTGATTACTGACAGTGGCTACTTTTATTCAATACCAAAGTTATTTCCTTTGCGCTATGCCTTTTACCAAATGGCCTAGGTCTGTTGAATTTATTAGCCTTTTACAATCTATTGATTAATAAATTCATTTTATATTTATGATATTATTTTAACAGTTAAAATATTGTAAACTCGTTTTCTTTAAATGTTTAAAATTTTACAATTTATTTTTATTTATATAGATTTAAATTGTATGTATTATAGTGAAGTCACACTTAAGTTGTTCTGCTGATGCCATTTATTTTTATGATCTTTTCACCCTCAATATATATGGTTTTACTTTATGTTGTATTTTATCTGTTTAACCGCGGTTGAGTATCTATTTTTGTTTCTGATAGTGGTAGATTTATCCACTTTGGCTTACTTTCATCATCTTTGTGTTTTAGCTTTGATAGTTTTAATTTTTTGGATGTGAAATTGGTAAAAGTGAATTTTGGAGTACTAAAATATGCCTTCACTCCATGTTTTAAAAGGAACTGATTATGGGAACTTGTCCATTTTTGGGAGAAGGCTTTAGGTTAGTTTTGGAACTAAGGAGATGAAATGAATTTTTATGCACCGAAGTATCTGATGCCATTTAACTTTTATTGAATTGGTCGAGGTTAAAAGAGCACTGTGAGTAATGTTTGATCTTTTGAATCATATTGTTAATAAACATATCTTTTTGTAAAGATTTAATTTGAATTACAGCAAGGGAATAGAGAAACTGAAGCATCATATTGAACTGTGATTCATATAGATAGCTTAATTTTTACTTGTATGGGTAATGTAAAATAACATCTTTAGGGACGCTATGTGTTCCTATTTTGGTGGGGTACGTATAGTCTCAGCTAGTTCTGCATCTGAACTTCTGCAGCTAGTAGATACAGCTATAGCCTATAACGTTTGCCTTTTGTTGTGACCGTACAATATCCTTCCAAAAGACGATAATGTATTAATAGTGGAATATTTATTTATACATGGTGATTGAATTTTCAACCATTTGAATTATTTTTTCCAAGTTCGAATAATGACTTAATATAAATACTATACTATGTCCTGATAATATATAAAATTTAGACACCACGGGGTGTTTAAATTTGATTTCCATGTATTTATTCTTATCGATGTAGATTATAGGTTTAAGTTTATTTTTTGAAAAATAAGCTGAAAATATAAATTATGTATGTTTGGCAACTTTATTATTTGGCAACCAAATAAAGTTTATAAATTCAGTTTTTTTTTTCTGAAAAAATAATCTAAAAGTATAAGCTCCAAAATCATTGGTTGGTTTATTTTTTTAGTTTATTTTTTTCCAATTTTTTTATTTCTCATTTTACTCCATCATAATTTTATCTATTTTCTCATTTTTATTCTTCTACCGAACACCATAATTTTTCACATAATCACCATCAATATCCATAAGTCTCATTTTCCTTTATTTCTCTATCACATCTCAACCCCGTAATTCTCCATAACATTTTTTTATCTATACACGAATAAAGAATTATGTATAAAAGTTTGTTATGTAATATTACAATTCTTTTTGGAGGAGAGATACATTGACTCCATGTTTTTTAAACTTACTTCACATTTTAGCCATCAATTCTTGAGAAATCCAATGGTTTCAATTAGTGGGTAGATTTAAACTATTAGATTTATCTAGAATTGATGGCTAAGATAAAAAACTTACTCTTGGAGTAAGTGGATCTTTACTCTTTTGTTAATTATGTATAAATCCAATAAACCCGACAACTTTTTTTATTTTTTTAGCCTTTGTTATGCAATAATATAAAATTAATGTAAAAATATATGATGATAAATATTAAAAAATTATAATTATATAGTATAAAAAGCAACCAAAATAATAATAACATAAACAAATAACTTCATACCATTTTTTGTAATTTACTATGTAATAATAATCTTTCTATCTTACCCAAACAAAATAGATTAGTTTATATTCAATTTTCAGTTAAAGTATCCAAACATAAACGGATTATAATTTTAACCGTTTATAATTTAACAGTTTATAAACTAAAAATGAAAAATTAATCTATACCAAACGCATGCATACCTCATCGGAGGGTAAAGCAGGAAATGAACAACCTATTCGTGTCCAATAAATAGTGGTAGGATCATGTTGTCCAATAATTATAATTAGTGGTAGGATCATTTTGTCCAAGGTAGGATCATGTTGTCCAATAAATATAATCCTTTTTGAAATAAACAACCAAGAATCACAATCTCTAGGAGGGTAAAGCAGGAAATGAACATAAATATTATATGATAATAACTATTTGCTATTGGTGTAAAGTTTTATTCGACTATATTGCATATCTCATTGTCTCGGGAATTGTTTAAATATCTGTTGGGTTACTTCTCTCATTACCAATTGAGTTTGAGATGAAACTTTAACATTATATCAAAGTTAGAGTTCAACTTCTTTCCGTTTGTCATGGGCCGAAAAATGTCCTATAGTTATGAGTCAAATGTAATCTTTCGTTTGATCCAACAGTTTTATGTGGAGGGAATATGCTGGGAAGTAAGTCTCACATTGTCTACTCATAGTTTTGGGAATGGTTTAAATACATGTTGGAATATTTCTCTTATTGACAGTTGATTTTGAGATGAAACCTTAACAATATGAATAATAAATAATATTATTATAATATATAAAATTTATACTGCATTCATTTTTATCTTATTTTATATTCAAATAATACATAAAATAATGGGGGAATTGAACAAATGAGCATGCATATAATGTACTCAATCCCTGTGAAATGAAATAAATGTTTTTCGCCGATAGTAAATTGAATAAACTTTTTTGTATGAAGGAAAAGAAAATAGGGAAGTTATGGGTTCTAACCAAAAACTTATATAGGAAAAACACTTTATATGAATCTTACATTATTACTTAATATTTTGAAAAGACTTCGAAGTTGACACCTTACAATTTAATCTTTTGTATCTCATTTAAAAAATTTAATTTTTTTATTTCTCATTAATTATAACATAATTATCAAAAAAAAATTGAGAATTTGGATTTATATGATATGATATATCAATTATATAGCATATAATCATATATGTTTGAATTAACTAAAACCAATGTTTTATGCCGGAATCGGTTTAGTTATCATGGGGTAAACCTTTGAAGACCCGATTGAACATCTTTTAATCACTTTGAATCGAGTGGTTAGTCTATTCGTTTTGCTCAAATAAAAAAAGTCAAAATAAGAACATATGACTTATTTATCATTAGAGTGGAATACCTATGTACTCAGCAGTGTAAATATTTATACATAGTAATATAACATCTAACATTCACTTGTAATATTTTTGTTTAAGAGACAATGATACATGAAAATGAATGAGGAATGATGTAGTGACACAATAAAAATACTTACATTGTAGTTAGAATTCATATTTTAATTTTAATTATATTATATATATAGCGTCTTCTGGTTTGATAAAACAGTTTAATCGATTACACCATACCCGTGCATACGCACGAGGTAGTACTTTTTGTCGTGTGATTAAGAACATAGATATTATATCAACATTAATATAGTTAAAAAAATATATGTTACACATACATTCACATGGTTAAAAAAATACATATTCTCTTTTGGCTCATGACAACCGGAAAGAAGTTGAGCTCTAACTCTAATATTATGTTAAGGTTTATCTTAAAACCAATTGGCAATGAGAGGAGTAGCCCAATAAGTATTTAAATCATTCTCGAGACAATGAGGTAGACGATGTGAGACTTATTTCTCAACATGATACCCGCTGCAACCTCAATTTCAACTTTCGAACACTCATCGTAGTAATAATTTTACGAAA